ACCATCTTTCCTGCAATGCACGACGTCGTTGTGAGCAGTATGTAAGTTGGTTGACTTAGACGGACAAAGAGAATATGTCATAGGACGGAAATAGGCGGATTCGTTTAAGCTGTTTGTTTAGGCTTGCCTAACCGTCCATATGTGGACAACTAACCTGACCTGCGTAGGGTACTTTTGCCATTATTTTGTTCACAGTCTGGACTGTTTAGAGGTGTTACAAGCGGAATCAGTTTCGCTTATTTTACTAAGTACTTCCTAGCTCTCCTAAGAGTTCACATGTGTGCATATTTTCACAAAAGACACTCCGCGCGCGCAGATTTTATGAGGCGGCGTCTATCACTTCTACTTCTGCGATCTTAATTTCACCAGTCCCACTTTCAACCCAGCACCTGCGGGTTTTATTTGGTCCTTTAATGACTTCCCCCTCTTCTCCTTCTCCTGCATATCGGAAGGACAATTGAACCTGTGGGATGTTTATGTGGATTGTACTTACGAGCGTTGTTGATCGTTGTGAGCGTGGGTATCTCGTCAAATTCTGGGAATTTCTTTCATGTTGCCTGACATTTGCTTAAGAAAGCAAATTCCTCTAGAAGGCAGTGCAACCTCTTGGTGTGATAATTAGTCCTTCTAAGCGTAGCAATTTATTTCGGGTTTTCAGTGCTTTTGAGTACATTTGGTGCCTATTTATCCACTTTTTTCGCTGTTTATCCTTGAAGCACAGTATTCTCGCAATGTTGTTTTTCAAGAAAACCTCACCCCTGTGATTTGACCCGATAATTGAAGTTTCTTGAACCGTCACTGTCGTACACGCAAACCTCGGAGGCTCCATCAAGAAGTTTTTGATCCCAAACAGCTGGTACCGTCTCCTTTTTTCTCATCTGTTCTCGTCACGAAGACTTTGTGGGTCAAATCTGAAAGCTCAGCCCTTTGCCTTGCAGTCTTTTGTCGTTCTTGCGTGGAACTGATATTTTTATTGTCTGATTATGACTGGAAAAATCAAGGAAATGGTACCAGCTGTTTGGAATCGAAACGGGTCTTGATAGAGTCGTTGCGGTTAACGTGTACGACATGGATAGTTTAAAAAACCTCAATTATCGGGTCATATCACGGGCATGCGGTGTTTTCGAAACAGAGCAGTCGATATTTATAGGTTATCTCTAGATATTTACTTTCCGTTTCACGAACGGCCACGGATGAGACAAGCCGGAATTAGTTATCCTCGTCTTATTTTTCGGAAGACCGACCTAGATAAGCCGAAAGGTTGTACCACTCCATGAGAAGGAGAGAGAGTGACAAACACCTTTATTTTGAAATGTTTGTAACTTTTGTTTAAGAAATCGTAAATCGCTATTGGTCGTGGCAAGCGAGATATGCGAATTGTAGTACTGTTGAATTCAACGTTTAACACGAGAACTTAGCGTTCTTCACAAACGCGTGGGCGTCGTTCGTAGGCGTCGTCAATAAAAACCGGTAAGTAAAAATCAAAATACAGCTTCAGTTGGTCTGGCAATCGACCTCTGGAGTTAAAGCAGAACATACTTCATTGATGGTCGAAGAGGGAAAATCGCGGATTATTTTGAAACGCTCCACCGGCAGACTGAACATACGTCGTCTACCGGGCTAACGGAACTTATTGGCCATTTTTGCCACAAAAGAAACAACCCAGCAGTTGTTTTCCCGCAGCCTTCTTATGTTTCTGCGTGTATCTGAACCCGAAGCGTTCTGTCCTTTGCGTCTTTAGAAGGCTCTTTGAGCTTTCCCATTCCGAAGGGGGAAGTTAGAAAAAGACCCACCTGAATCACTACGAATGAAACATTAAATGCTACTCCGGCTGATTTACTATTTACCTTTTAATTGGTCGTCCGGCCATTAAAGAATGCTCAAATGTCCTTGAACTACCTGATAAGTGGCTTCAGCAGCTACAAGACAATTGGTTGCGGCCTGGGATCTGGTCGTCAAATAACCAAGAACTTCAGTGCCTTTTGAAACGTGAGTTTGTTCTAAATAGCCTTCTTTGATAGCTCCATGTGTCTTGTCACCTGGCTACTAAGTTTGTCCCTTATTGACTACCGACTGACGTTTGGTTTTCATTTCGTGTATCTGCTGTTTGTAAGTTTAATAGTTTAACCTTACTCCTAACATAGGCAGTAACTAAAAGCCCACACGCTTGTTGCTGATTTGAATACTCCAGCAGTTGATCTATAATCGCCCGCTTTGTCGACTTCAGTCGAGCCTAGTTAAAGTCATTTGTGAGTTCGACAGCGGTCTGGTTGATTACATTGAGGAAAACGTGTTGATTAGCCTCTTGGTTTGTTACTGCCACTGTCTCAGGCTGAAATTCCAAGACAAGACGTCATGTCTATTTGACTCACTTTTGAAATACCCAATGGCCTCTGTGGCCCTATATTCTTGCCCCGCAATCTGACCTTATGTGCAAACATCAGGCCCATGTGGTTTCATATATTCCACGAAATAGTTCGGAAGAGCGTAGGACTATTTCATCAGCTGGTAAGGCACTCGACCTCGATCACAATCCTTCCCACACGGATTCAAACTATACCTGCTCGACAATTCAAATGAAGCATACGGAGGTTTCTTCTATCTGCTGTGCTGTTTTCCATCAAATTGATCGAGTCGCACGTTCTTTAGATGTCCAACCTCCCGAGTATAAACACACCGGTGACTGCCAAATCTGTGTAATTTGCATACTTTAGTCAAAAAAACCCACGCCTCTCACAACTCTGATCGACAACCAAGGGATAGTTTAACAGTCAATGACACAGCGCGGGACTTTGTAGTCGTTTTCGACATACCTACCGGCATGAGGCAAGGGCTTTTGGTTCCTCAAAATATTAACATGAATTGTCATCTTCTTTTAGTTATTCCACTAAAATAACAGTCGTTGTTAACTTCGTAATGCAGTGGCGCTTCTATCGGAGACTAGTGAACTGTGGTTTGTGACCAACATTGTTTCCACATCAAGATTCACTTCCAACTTAAGGACAGTGGTTTTAACCTCAAAACTCCAAGAAGGCCAATTTTTCGCACGGTATTTGGAAAAGCACACGTACGGGTCTGCCGTAAATCCACCCGACAAGAAAACAGCACAGGTATTTTCTGTTTACCACGGACTGACATTTGTTTTGGCTCAGGTGTTAACTGACTTCTTTGGTTGTAAAATTAGTAGAGAATGGTGTTTTCAGCAAAACCCCGCGACGGAGTTCAAATGACCAACTCTGGCCTGTCCATCCTTTCCTCAGGACCGGCTCAACAGGATTGGAGGAGGCCTCGAGCGCAACTCAGTTAGCAAACTTTGCAGACAATTCTAGCACAGTCGTTTTTAATAGGTGCAAATTGTCCTCCAAGAAAGAAACCAGTACAAATCGGTCCGCTCTAGTTTTCGCCACCAATGTAAACATTCCAGGGTATTGCTCTAGGTTGCGTAAGTCTTTCCTGAGAAGAGTGGAGTTTGATTTTTTGTTTTTCAATGTTTCGAACGATGTTCAGATTTCTGTACTACCTCCCCAAAGCCTGCTTACAAGCGTCTCAGCTTCCTGTCAGTTTTTGATCACATAAGCATGGTTTAAACGGATTTCGTCGGGTTGCAAGTCTGAGACCGGTGTTCTGCTATGCCGTGGTACTCCCATCTGAAGTTATCGTCACTGCCACGTAACTCTGGAGACCTGTTATCGCAGCGTGAGCAGTTATCTGAAGAAGCTAAGCATTCGGCTTGCTGCCGGACTAGAAACAAGGTCAAACTTCGGGTCCGGCAGACTTAATATTGCTTTGTAGCTGGTTGTCGACGAAATAATCATCTCAGTCTGCCTAATCTGCGCTATTTCTGCACAATGTGTGGTACGTGCAGACAAGTCTCATCAAAGACCCAGCATAGAAAGATTTACATACAGTACACGTAACGACGCATTTTATCCCTAACCTGCCGCTTGCTGCAGTTGGAATGCTGACTTGACTTTCAGAGGCAGGTGTTTTCCCCTATTTCACCCATTCTTACGATACACAGCCGCTCTGTTCTGTTTCCCGCCTATATCAATGCGCAGGCCACCGTGCCTGATCCATCTTGCTGGAAAACAGGCGAGGCGGAAAAAACTGCGTATAGATTTAGGCTAGGGCGTCGCAGTTTCCTGACTAGTACTCATCATCAGGTGGGTGTGATTGGACTGGACAGCGTACCCCGACATCTTGGGGGGAGGTGGGAAAATGATGGTGGAAATGTGGTCTCTCACTAGCAGATTAACAGATAGGGACAACCGAGGTTTCGAGCCAGCAATCAGAATCACGATAGCCATTACAGGGCGGTCGCATTCGCTACTAGGCACCAAAACGTGTGAGCGGAGTTCCTATTTGCCCCATTTATCTCACTGTTAGGCGAGTGTTTATCTATCCGGCCGTGTATTATTACCGTAAAGCTGAACCTGGCGGAATAGGTGCTCTTCACGCCGCCCTGGAGCGCGCCGTGGGCACCAAAGAGCATCAGTAGTCGGAAGGTTGTCAAAATACACTGCGCGAAAATCTCGAATTGAGTAATATTAGCAAATAATCAGAATTTTACGCCTGGCTTCTTGAGTATACATGCCATACTAGACATTCGGGTGGAGTAGTTTAGCGCCCCTGGTATACGATATTATTTAGGCTATTGCATTAGGAGCATATTACGTTCCGTCAAAATAATTGCCATTGGCTATCTAACCGCAGCGTATAATTGGAAGTCAATCTTGCTCTCCTCAAAACGCGTTTTTCTTATTTTACTCTTGGAAAAGAATAGTCTATGTGTCCTGACTCCCTCGATTTGCCAGGGATTCGATGGACAGATTAAGTGGAGCCTATGGGTTCCGAGTCGAATGCGCCTTTGTTTTCAACATAAATGTCAAAAATGGAACCAACACGCAAAGCACAATCGTCAACGTATTGGACAAAAAACAAATAACTAAAATCTGATTGGTCTGAAGACAACTATCGAAAGTTATAGCATACGTGCCCTTCTATGTCTGCAGCCCCGCTTCGCAGGCCTGTGTCGAGTCACAATCAGCCGTACAAGTGCAAACCTGGGGACAATTTATGCATTTGCATTCCAAATCTTGTTGACTATCAACTACTTTTAGTGGGATGAACATCCAGTAAACGCTTCTGTGCAGTTCCTGGCTGTGTTTGACAGGTGAAAACGTTGTCTGTAACTCGCTGTAGGAAGAAGATCGATTCTCCACATCAATCTCTCTGTCGGGCAATTTATCCCTAGCACATCTTTGGCCATTCTGCGATCGTTTGTCGCCAACCTGGACTTCTATTAACTGAGAATACGAACGCTTGCCGCCCTCTCGTCCGGAGACATCCTTCAGTTCGGTGTCCTCATACTGAGTCCAGTTTTCAACGCAGGGGTGGGCGGCCCTCGAAGCTCTGAGAGGGGACTGTGACACCGTGGGGGTGTAGGTATCAATCTGCCTGTAGATGATTGGCTCGCGTAGAAGAGAAGGAGGAACTTTTTGCGCATGAGACCGCTTGAACGAGCGTCTGTGCTTTCGATCCTGGGTGGCCATACAGAGGCGGCTTTTTTCAACTCGCAGCTTGTCTTTTCCTCCGCATACATCGTGTGAGACCCCAGTGACCGTGGTGGCAACGTAAGCATTTTGCAAGACTTTCACTTGAGCCACCGCATGTGCTCTAGCCACGCTTTGTTGCGTATATTCAACAGCTGTCTCAGGGCTTCTGCCGGCATCCCTATTGGACTGAAATTTTATAAAAACTGGGGATCTGATTGGCTCGATGTTGCACTTTGGACTTGCCGGTGGTTCTGCCCTGCGCCTCCGGGAAGTTTTTGGAACTGGAGCGGAGGTATTGACAGCCGAATGTGACTTTTCCGGCGGGAGAGGGCTACTGGGGGATATGAAATTTCTCAAACGCCTCCTCTTCTGTGGTCTTGGAGGAGGCTCATAACTTGGGCTGCTGGATTTTTTAGGGGTCCCAGTGGCCTCCAGGGGACCATTCCTCCCTCGTGGGCGTGGCCTTGGATTACGAAGCTGGGCGCTCTTTAAGTTTGCTGTAAGCTGCTCATTGGTGTCTTCCTCGGGACGTTTCCTTCCCTCGGGGAGTTGGTATGACGGAATGAATTCCGTCGGGGGTGACGAACGAGGTTTGAGGTCACCTTGTGTCCCCACGTTTTCGTTCAACCCCTGTTCAGGTGGAAACCAGGTAATGCTGTTTGACACGCGTGAGCGGCGTGATTGTGGGCTGGCCAATCGGCCATCCCGACATCGGTCAGTAAACCGTTTTTCCGTTGGTTTCGGCTCCTTAGCTACCGTCCATGCTTCTGTCAGCAGATTGTCCGATATGATGAAGTGTATGTCGATGAGATCACTACTACCGCTGAGGTCCTCAGTCGCAAAGGATTCTTCCAGCATCCTGTACGGTTCCAAGCTTCGACTGTGCTCCAAACTGCTGTTGGTCGTCCACCGTTCTTCCACAACCCTCCCAGCACGGGAAACGGGGCGACAACTCCTTATCGTGTTTCTCATCCAGCCCAGGGCACTTTCTGGACGCTCTTGTTTTTGATTGTTGGAGGTGTTTGTTCTCCTTCCATTTCTACCTCTCAAACGTGAAAACAACCGATGAATTTCACTTGTCCTCCCACTCTCGCTGGCAATGTCAACCTCCTCTACTTCAACATTGTCCTCATGTCTTTGTTTTTGTTTGTACCAGCGCGCTATTCGAAACCTCCCCATACCTGGAAATCCCGCCAGTTCCTACCCCATCGGAGTGCCTTCACTTTCGGGTTAAGCACGTGGCGTGTACCACGTTACCTCATCATCGATTGGCTGGGCAGGAGCGCGCTGCTTCAAATTCCCCACGTGAGCTTCTGAGGTTGATGCAATTACAGTTTTTCGATTCCCGGCTATACGAAAAAAAAACTTTGGAGCGGTTAAACACGGTTTCCTTGAACATCATCACTTTGTTTTTATTCCATTCAATACTCACAGCTTTTGTGCCACGTTACAATCTGCTCACTCGGAAAAGTTAGCTTTTGTCCATAGTTGTTTCGGCAGATTTATAATAATTCGTTTTGACCCAACTGCGAAAAATCCGGCGCCTCAGTGGGATCGACAGCATGGGGAGACTTTAGTACAGCCGACGCTCTAGCCACCTGAGCTGTGAGGCCCCACCTCGAGACGTGAGTTTAATCCCATTTGGGTCAAGTTACCCGCCAAACCTACTTTAACGTCGTACATCCCATTTACATAACTGGTATCTGGAGTTGTCTTTGAATCATACTTTACTTATTTTTCATAAAAAGCCAAAGTCAATCCTGCTGAGGTTTCGCAACCATCCACCGCTATGACACATTGAAATACTCACGACTGGCAATTTGCCATGATAGATCCAGAGAACCTGTAGCTCTTCCGCACCTACAGAACGTCTCTGAAATTCTAGCTAAACGCATCTGGCAGTATTAGTATGTTTGTCTTTGTTGTTGCTACTGTTTCTAATGTTGTTGATAAGCAGGGAACCATCCTTTTCTATGGCTCTGCCGTCCACCAGAGGGTCAACAATATGGTGTTTCATAGGGACTTTGGAGAACATTGTTGGCAATTTGCCACGATAGATCCAGAGAACCTGTAACCCTTTCTCACACACAGAACGTCTCTGAACTTTTAGCTAAACGCATCTGACGGTATGTGTATGTTTGCTTCCGTTGTTGTTACTATTTCTGATGTTGCTGGTACCAGGGAACCATACTTTTTATGGCTCTGCCGTCGGCCAGAGGGTAAACAGTATGGTGTTCCATAGGCAATTTTGAAAGGCCTGTGGGCAGTCAGGGCTCCGAAGATCTCGAACGCGAGGTTAGACGTCCCGGGTCACCAAGCCGAATTTGCTTGATATCCTATAGGTCCTGCTGCCGATGCTCATGACCTACACGGCCGTCAAGCTGAACTCCCTGAGTCCAACTTTCTGGTCAGTCTAAAGCCTAGGATCGGCACGACCCAACTGGTTTTGTTATGCAAGCAGATGGTGGAAGTTGAACTTCAGCGAATCTTGCACCTAGGCTATACTCCTGCCGCGTGTTTCATTATGACGTGTAAATGCTCAGCCCGTCGACTCCCCTGGAACTAAGCAATAACAATCGAAGGTTGACTTGTATTCGATACGTCTGGAACCCACCAAATCTGACACAGTAAGCTGCCTGCCCAAGCCGGGTTTCTTGAAGAATCCGTCTAGAATCCACCAAATGACTTCCAGGCTAACGTAGTTGATAGTTATTGTCTGCTTATGAGAATTTCTGTCACCTTGAGCTTTATGCTGTTATTTTCTTCAAGCTCTATTTTCTTCAATCCGTACATTCGCATATAATGATCTCACATGTAGGTTTCTCGTTAGAGAGGTATTGTTAAGTTCACACAAGGGAGATAGTGCCTTAACTGGTAATCGGATTTTAAAGTCAATTTCCTCCAGCAGATTGTGTTCCGCTACATTTTTCAAAAATACTGAGGCCCGAATTTGTAACGCCTTAGCTTGCAGAAGTGGTTCGAATTAGCGTGAAGTATTGCCTGCAGGATCTGGAAAGCAAACTTTGGTGAGAGTTTGTTCACGTCATACGTCCAGGAGAGGACGCATTGGTTACATGCGCGTCGGATTGTCTATGACCTTTCGACCATTGCAAATGGCGGCGTCTTTCGAGTGCCTCTGAATGGATTCAGCACCAGCGACTTGCACGAGGACTACTTTGTAGTAAGGTAGACTTGCGCAGTACCCATCGCAATCACCCCTCATTTACCCGGTTCTGCGTTGGACGCATTAGCTGGGAAAAGTAAACAGTTGGCCTACGCGTACCACGCGCAACCTGGTCCACACAACATATAACGGGCTACGGTTAGGGCGACCCAATCTTTGCTTCGAGGAGAATGTTACAAAGGTGATATTAAGACGGAACCATCGTGGTCCGACTCTCAGTCCTCCGGTCAATTCAAAATGCTCCCATGTGAACCTGTCAGTTGGAAATCTCTCAAACCACCACTCTTAGCGCGTTAGTCAGTTGGTGGTGTGAGCCGTTTAGCACCGGTATATTTAAACACATCCGCAAAACATATGTTAGACGCGTTGCGTATTGCTATTTTAGGTATTCTTATACCTTAAATGGGTTGCCTGAGCTATTTCGGACGTACTTGTCCTAAAGTTGTATTTGCCTGCACTTCGGTTTCCCGACACCCACCCCCTGAACTTGTTCACTTTGCTTTTTCCGGCTTTTATTCATCCGAGTCCTTACGGGCATTGATTGTTGGTTGTGCCGTTCTTCAGGCCTCTGTGGTGAATGTTTCATGTTATTCGTCGTTCGTGAGAGTATCTGCACCGCTTTAGGTGCACGCAGACATTAACGTGGATTTCGGACCAACGATGTCGTAAATCCCATTTACATAAGTGGTATCTGGAGATTTTTTAAATCATACTTTATTTATTTTTCATCACGGCGGCCTAAGTCATAAGGGCATCCTGGATATTACAAACTTCGGGTCCGGTTTCGAATAGAAGGAGAAGTTTGATGCCAGTGGGGAGAGCATTGTATTCTGTACATAATAAATGAAAAAATGCGCTTGAGCAAGTTGGCAGCTGAATGAGTCACACGTCCGAGGTCGCGAGCACAGGCGTCCGAGTGTCACCGGGGCGGACGTCCGAACATGGGCGAGAATACGTCGGCCCTGAACTTGATTGGTCGATTGGGATAGCTGTGATTGTCCGAGGGGCAGGCTACCACGGGTTGGCGCGAGAGGTGCAGTGTTGCCGCAGGCGCCAGCATCGGGGTCTCCGGTCTCCTAGTCACCACGCCTTCGATGAAAGGGCTAAGACAGGTTCTACGTGACCTTCATTTCAAATGACTGAATGAGAAGTTGGAAGGTTGGATTATATTTTTTGGATTGTTTGTCATCTCTACCTGGCAGTGAATAGTCAGTTGACCCCTCCCTCTGTCCGAAAGAAATGACATCGGCTGGCCTTCAACGACTCCAGATAATGACCGTCATGATAGGGGGCGCTCACTGATCGTTCTTACAGAACTCACTCGTTCCGTTGTGCCTTACGGGCTCTCTCTCTCTCTCGAGCCCAACCAGCAGCCGAACAGCGGCGCATGATATAGGCAGTATGTTATTACCCACAAAGACAAGGGAGACTTGAATGGCCATTTCTGGCTTATTAACCGTCGTCAGTCAGTCATACCCAACCCCGAAGTGTGGAACACCTGGGGCTCGATCGGTGAGCCCCCCTCTACCATTGTATATTCCCGATCGAAACCGACAGGACAACGGACCCGTGGACCAGTGGATAGAGGCGTTCGATTTCTAACTAACGGGTTGCGGGTTCAAACCCCAGATTTTCAACACTTCGGGGTTGGGTATGACTGGCTGGCGACGGTGAATAAGCCAGAAATGGCCATTCCAGTCTCCCTTGTCTTTGTCGTTGGTAACATATTGCCAATGACCGTCATTCTGACGTCTTCGTATTCACCGTGGCGGCTTTTGAGTGTATTCTGGTCTCCCGCCTCGTCTTTAAGTGCTCAACCTTGAAGGCCATTCATATGTGGCTCCTTAAGGGATCAGCATGTTTAGCATTTTGAACACAGATAGCTCTTAGTCCCAATGATGACTTTTCAGCCGCCAGATGTTTTTGAAGTGAATTCAAGCGTTTTGCGTACTACGGCGTTTTTGGGTGGTCAGTGAGAGAAACTTAAGTTCCGAGCGGTACCACACCAGGAAATGTGAGCCCTCCAAACTCTTACGCCCCAAAACTGCTGAGAAGAAGAAGTGTACTTTGTCTTCAAATCTAGGCAAGACTCAAAATTTTTACTAACCAAATATGCAAGAAGAAAACTAGGGTGAGAAGGCAAGAGAATAACAACAAAAAACAAAAAAAGTAAGAGACCGCCTTTGGGAGGTAGTAATTCGTTTTCAGAATCATCTCCGGCCATGACAGGAACAGGGGGCTGGCAGACCAAACATTCCATTCGCGCCCATTGACATCGGCATAAGCACCCAAACCGTTTGTCCGTTTCCATTCTGCGGTGGCGGAGCCAGTGGACGGATTCGGGGACAGGGGTGACGCGCGGCAAGGAGACATTCGCCTACACTGCACTGACACCTTGCAATGCCGTTTAGACCCAGCTGCCGCTGTTGGCCAAAGCCCTGGGGGCCCTGTGGCTGGGCGTCCAAGGCGCATTCTACGGTTGTTCTGTTGCCATGACTTGCCAAAGAGTTCTCCGGTGTGTTGACTACCACTGTCTGCTCAGCACACTCCGGTGTACTCACTGGAGGCGTCCTCCGCTCGCTTTGACCAATGATAAAGCGTGATTGTGTTGTCGGATCTCCGGGACTTGCGTTTTGGTACCTCTGCCCTGACCACCCGTCTTTGCCCTCCTCAGGTGGTGGACAGGGGGGCTTCCAGGGCCTGGTAGAGTCACACTGTTCTGTCAAGTCCGTCACTGGGGAATGGAAGGCTGGCTGATTCAACCTCGCCCTGGCTGCCGTCGCGTTAACAGGACTCAGTCGCGGACCTTGCGATTTAACTTCCGCCGTGTGCGTGGGTGCCTCTAGCCCCGGGCAGGACAGCCCATTCTCAGCGGGCGCGGCCAGACTGAAGGGCAAAGAACGACTGCGTGTGTACTCAAAGGGTTGCGCGGACTCTGGTCTGCGACCGTCATCACCCACGTACGCACTGGCTAGTCTTAGGCTACTCTGCTCGGAGGCTGTGGACAACATCTTCCCGCCGGGAGTCACACTTTCAGCTTGATCAGACGGTTGCTTTTTACGACGAGAAAAGCAGGAACGTTTCTCTCCGGGCTGGACTTCCTCGGGAACTTTGGCATCTCTTCCTGCTAGGGACTTTGAGGCAGTCTCCTCTTCTGCCTGATCCGATGGTTGCTTTTTACGACAAGAAAAGCAGGAACGCTTCCCTCTGGACTGGCCCTCCCCAGGAACTTCGGTGGCGTCAGTGTTGGTTGGGATTTTGCCATCTGTTCCCGCCGCTAGGGGCTTTGAGGCAGTCTCGTTTTCTGCCTGATTTGATGGTTGCTTTTTGCAGCAAGAAAACCAGGAACGCTTCTGTCCGGGCTGGCCCTCCGCAGGGGCGCCTTCGTTAGTCGAGGCTTCTGCGTCCTGGCCCTCCTTGTCAGCAGGCTTGCGTTTTCGTTTACAGCAACAACATTTGCCGCCAGCTGCATCCTCCTCCTCCTTCTCATCCTTCTGCTGCTCATCGAGACGTGATACTGTATCACTTCTGCTTCTGGAGGCAGACAATGCAGACATAGTAGATAGAGCTGCCGTCTCGGATCTGGACTTCTCGCTATGTTCTATGGCATCAACAGCCGGGGCCTGAACAGTCGGCCGGTGTGAAGCCGCATTCGCCATTGCCACGGTAACGGCACTCATTCTTTCACCGTGGAATTGGATTTCTACTGTGTGAGTGGGAGCTTCGGTCCCGACACCTGCTAGGACCGTCTGGGAAGTCACACCGGGCGGTGTGAATGCAGCACCAGAGGGCGCAAATGAAGCTGCAGTGTTAGGTTCGTCACTGTGTTGTGGGAAATCACTGACTGACCTACGCACAATCGGCTGGTTTGAAGTCCCGTTCGCCTCTGACACGGCAACGGCACTCATTCGTGGACCTTGGAATTGAATTTCTACCGTGTGACTGGGGGCCTCCATCCCAGCGTCGGCCAGCATGTTTTGAGAAGTCACAACGGGTGGCGTACATTCAACACCAGAGGGCGCAGATGTAGTCCCAACGCCGGAAGGTACAACCTGTTCTGCTTGTGTTGGCTGTATCGTTGTCAATTGGTCGGGATTTGGACACATAAAAGCTCTGCAGTGTAGCGGACACATTCTGCACTCATTTCCCACAACCACCTGTCCGCTACGGTTGGGGCAAAGGGGGTTCACAGGTGTCTCATGGGTCCCTCCGAATGATACAGGAGGCGTATTCAGTTGACAGGGGACGGGCGTGCATGGCCTAGAGGCATTGGAGACTGGCGTGGGGCACTTAGTCGCATTCGGAGCGACCGTACCTCCTACACACGACTCATGACCGCCAACCGGGCTTGATCCAGGCCTCTGCCTTCCACTGGGTCCTTGCTTATTCGCTTGGTCAGAGGCTAGGGAATTCTGGTAACTACTGACACCCTTCTGACTAGGCAGCCCAGAACTGCCCTCATTAGTTTTGGACTTAGTATTGCGCGACCTACGGCCGCCAAACAAGCTTGATCCAAATCTTTGCCTTCCACTAGACCGTCCCTTATTGACCGAATCAGAGGTTAAGGAGTCCTTGTGGCTACCAACACTCCCCTGACTAGGTGGGACAGCGAGAGCATCCTGTGGAAAGCTGTCTTCACTAGTTTCCGGTTTGGCGTTACGTTTTTTACAAAAACAGCATCCACCCGCGGCCCGGCCCCCTGTCGACGTGTTCATGGAGCTTTCGCGATACTTGGACGTACTTTCTTCGTAGTCTCCACAGACTATTCTACCAGTTTTTTTGCCCTCTTCCTCTTGGCTTCCCGCAGGTGATGATGACACTGATATCCGAGGTTGGATGAAACTCGCTTTCGGACTACTTGGCCTTTTGATTTCAGGCACTGCGGGCTGTGTGTGTCTCTTCTTGTCGAGCTGGGGTGCGTAGTTCGTTGGGCCCTGTGGTGGCTGACAGTTTACGGCTGCTGGGCTACTCGACTGCCGACCGTCCAGTTCAGTTGATCGACAGGGTTCATAGCTGGCTGGCACCGCTATCCCTACTGGACACTGAGGGCTCATGACGCATGAGCCCATGTAAGCCTCCTGGTTTGCTGACATAAGGCCACATCTGCAGAGCCCGTCAGCCCCTGCGCAACCGCCTACCACCCCAACGGGTGAACTGACGGGGGATTGATTGAGAGGGGCTCCCATGCGCGTTCCAAATTCAATTACGCTCGGCTTTCTAACGGGCACTGTTTCGCGGTTGACACCTGTAGGTTCAGAGAAGGATCCCTTTTGTCTTTGCGGCGGCTTGTCGGTCTTATCAACTGATGACATGCGATTCCGGTTTCCAACACTCCGGCGAACATTGACATTGGAAGCCGGGGTTGCTGTTTGCTTGTCTGCTGTTGAGAGAGCTGAACCCTTCCTGGACGCCTCACCTACTTCTGAGTCGAATCCCGCGGACAGGTCTTGTTCCGTCGCGTCTTCGTTTTTCTTTCTCCGACGACCACAGCAACCTCGGGGTTTGTGGTTGGATTCTGTTTCTACGTTCTCTGCCTCTGAACCTATCTCATTTGGAGCGTTTGGGCTGGTGGTAGTGCTTGTCGTTGATGCGCTTTCCGTCAATCGAGGTGAGAGCACTGTTGGTCCACCACTTCCCCGCAACGATCGTGGAGTAATGGCATTTGTATTTTCAGTAAGCGATTGTTGGCCGGATCTGGAGTGAACTGAGGTCCCTTGGTCTTTGTCATCCGGGGAAACTTCCCGATCTCGTGCTGGGCTTGGTTGTCTGTCCTGAAGGACTTCACCTGAGTGTAGTTCCTTCCTTCTCAGAGCAATATAGTATTTAAGTTCACAACTGAGACGCATTAAGTTTTCTGAACTAGGCTCTGACTTGTCCACTAGAAGGGACTTAAGGTGCCTGTGGAATGCTGCTGCATCTATCCCTCCAGCATGCTCATTTTCCCTAGTAACTGGCTCAATCCGACCATCGCGATCAGGGCTTAGGGAAGTTGACGCTCCTCTACCTCTCTTCCCCATCTTTAAGTAAATTGAAGACTTCTTTTTCCTTCGGCCAAACCAGTTCCATCTTCCGTGTCCTCCCCTTCTCAAGAATTCGATATACTCACCCGACTCAATCCAACTCCTTATGCTTCTATGTGCTTTATACTGCGGCTTTGTCGGCAGGACTTCCTCCCGCCCTGCTCCCCCATCGGCATTCCATCCGTACCGGCAGTAATTGGCACCCTGTCTGTCTTCACTGCTTGCCACGTAAACCACCTGTTCGACTGTCTGTGTTGTGCAGTAATCCGGCTTTTCCGCTTTAGTACACATCTCGCGACCATTCGGCCTCGGATATCCTGCCGGTGTGTTGTAGGAGAAGCCATCCTCAGTTTTTGTAAAGGAGTCTGCGTGGTCGGCTTCATTGTCCATTCGCGTCCTTGCCCGTGATAGGCTCACATAAGTACTGTAACCTGCCGAAAAAACACGATTCCACAAGGTGTCTGGGGGTCGATCCACTTCGTTGCATTTCGGCTTCTTTCCTCTCCGAGTACTCCTCATGATTTCCGGAAGTCCATGTGTTTCGTAGCTAGATGAGGTAATTGTGCGGATTTTTTTCACTGATCGATTTGTCCATACGTTTGTCTGCCCAGCTTAACCCATATCAAGCATCCTTATCTCCCGTTATGACATATTTGCAGCCTCATAGAACGAATGTGTCCTTTATTGATTCTTGTCGAGCGCGCCCTCGTAAAGCCCCGCCACGTGCGCTGGCGGGCGAACGTGGTTTTCTTGTAAGTCGGCCGTCGTTGAAATGTAAACCTACATACAGTAGGTGGTCTAACTCATGAAATATCAACAGAAGTTCCGAAATGCGTTTCCGTTTCGGAAAAATTAATTAAATAGGGTTGTAAAACTAGTCAGCCTACAACAAAATTCTATAATTATTCAGTTACCTCGGAATGCCGGCTTTCGAAGGAACTTCCTCCTGACTGCATGCAAAAAGTATATTCTGTAAAAAATGCCTACTTGAGGAGCATACATTCTTTCTCATTGATGTTCGATGCCCTTAGAGATTGAATAATATTTCATGGAAAACATGCATGCTCATTCAGTAGAAAATTACGTCTTCTTTCAATTTTATACTCGAAGGTAGGGTATAATTCGGTTTGAAGAAAGTTTCTAATTGTGAGATTTTTAAATACCATGAGACAGCTCTTCATAAAACGTCATGTCTCTGCATTTACCAATGTGGCTTGTAAAGTTAGCAACGTGGCTCAAATTCACTGCTCAATCTTATGAACCCTGTATGGTCTTCCTTTAGTATCGTAGAGAAATGTATGGTTTTCCGTACGCGGAAAATATACGGCTTGTAATCTGGGAACCTCGAATGAAAGTGTAACGGCAGGTTGGGCTCGAATTTATTCAGGAAAAGTTTTATAAAACCAAATTATAACCTTTCTTCTAGTGTAAAATTCAAAGAAGACGCAATTGTCTTCTGGATGAACAAAAGAATGAATATTTTTATGCATGTTTTTCATGAAATATAATAGTATCTTTAAAGGCATCGAAAATCAATGAGAAAAATGCGCGTCAATTAAGTAGCCATTTTTTGTGGAGTATGGTTTTCGAAAGCCGGCGTCTGAAGGTAACTGAATTATTATAGAATTATGCTGTTCGGTGATTGGTTTTACAACCCTACTTAATTAATCCTTTCAAAACGGAAACGCATTTCGGAATTTCTATCGACATTTCATGAGCTAGCCCATTTACTGCAGGTGGAATTTCATGATAGTCGTGTCCTTTATGTTTGCGCGCTTATTATTTCGGTTCATTTCTAGCTGGAACTGTAGACTTGCGGTCCAGGGAGCCTAGAGAAGGAGCTTGCTTTTTGTAGGTTCTAAGGACGCGAAAGTGGCCACTGAAATCCTCCAAGGGTGGTATTAATCTATGCAGTCTCTGGGGGTGCTCTCCTAGACCGCACTTCCTGAACACTTCACTGCAACGCTAAGCATTATCGCTTTGCATGATGAGAAATCCCTGCAAGGGTAAAGTATACGCGCAGGGTTAGGGAAGAATATGCAGAACTGCCTGCATTATTTTTAAAAGTGGGTGTTTTTGGATAGCGTTTTTGGTCGGCCCTCCATCGGCAGGATGACATTCGCTAACCTGTACGGCCCAAGGAGCCAGCATCGTTCAAACGTCAACATTGGTTCACTGTTCTGCACTCCGACACGTAATTCTTTAATGAGAGGAAAGCTCATTTTTACGAAATTTTGGCATCACGGGGAGCAGTCGCATAGCAAAAAAGATACTATAAATGTCGTTAACTGGAAAGCACACTTCGGCCATTAAAGCAGGAGTGTTAAAACGCTGGTGAATTTGCTAAACTACAGTTGGCATTTTCTTATCTCGTGAATCTTCTTAATCCCTGACGAACCCCCCCCCCCGCCTAATTGCTCGTCCTCGATCGTCTATTGGATTGCATAAACTGAATTCGTCTAGGCCACTGCGGCAAAGCATCCTCGCCCGGTCCATGAATCCTTTGTATTATAACAGGCAAGCAAATGGCAGCTTCCAGGGCCAAAAAATGACAAGTAGCTTACCAAAGGGGGGATACTGAACCACCAATTTCTGACCCACAGGCCTCTGGCAGACATGGCACAAAACGCCGAGACCTAAACACAGGTTAGCGACTTCGAGGCGAACCAGACATAATGCTGTCTATCATACAGCCACAGGCCTGGATTATATCGTCTGCTATCGACCCATTATCTTAGGGGGGGCGGGGATTGCGGGGAGTAAGAACTCACCCTCTCCGCTATTTTGTGTTCAGGCTGCTGAGGCGTCGGAGGTCAACGCTCTATGTTACTTATCAAGCATAGAGGCGACTGGCAACCGTCGTTGAAAGTGAGCATCAGTGTCCTATTTCCTTGACGCCTGTCAGCTAACCTTCTCCGATGATCCATGGCTCGTCCCTGTATGACAGTCGGGTC